TGTCTGTAGATCTGCAATCCTGGGTTCACCCACCATTCTGCTCACAACCTATTACTATGGTTCTCAAACTTTTCTGCAACTACAATCAACTGGGAATCTGTAAAGTTTCCAGTGCTCACACTGTACCCACACCAATTACATCTAAATCTTTATGGGTAGAAATCACTGAACACCACCATTTTTTAAAACCACCAGTGATTCCAACATAGAGCCAAGGTTGAGAACCCTAGCCAAGGTTGAGGGCCCTATTATGATCTTCACTACACATGTTCTAAATATTTTCAAATTTCGTAAAAAATTTAAATACACACTTCAAGACTATCCCCTCCTCATGTCATGAGGCCAAGTGAATTGGAATCAGCTGACACTGCCAAGTTAATGCATTTTGAGCACAGGTCTGATTGTATCTCATGATGGACAAACAAGACAGGCCGTGCCTCCACAACATGTACAATCTAATGGAAGGGCAAGGGTATACGCAGAGAAGGACAGAAGATTATTTAGTGAGAGAATTGTAAGTAAAGGGTAACAATTTGATGGGCTTGATGCACACATAACAGAGCCTTGGGAATCCAGAAATATTCTTCTTGATTAGGTGATATCTAAGCTGAAGCATAATGGAAACAGTGGAGAAAGAATGTTTAAAGGGACAAGAACAAGATATGCCTAGAAGCGAGAGAGGGCTTTGATTTCGCAGAATTGTGAGTAGTTCAGTACAGAAGGATGCTATGTTTGAGGGAGGAGAAGCAAGAGATGAGGCAGTAGTGTTGAGCAGGAGCCACTTCTGGGAGGACCATAAGAGATATTTTAAAAACTTTGAACTATTTTATTACATTTCTTCAAAAAATTAGATAAACAGAAAAAAATGGCAATATTATTCTTAAATAAAAATAACACTAAGCACTGGATAATTTCCATTAACTTCGTCTTAGATATAAATTATTAAGATATACATTCCTGTTTGAGACATGACACATTCTCCTATCTGAACAGGAAAGAGGCACTTAAAACCCCAAAAGAGGCATGAAAAATATTTGACTTTTTCTCAAGATCTGGATCTGTTCCTGAATCTTAGATCCAGTGAACCAAAAATAAAAGGAAAAGAAGGAGGAGGGAGGAAGAGGAATAGGAGAAAGAAAAGGAGAAGTAAAACAAAGTTTTAAACTAATAGACTCCAAATACAGAGCCAGTTAGAACCAGCACCATGTCTGCCCAACACCCAAACCTTTGTAATTCTACCTCAACAATGAGAGTAAAATATCCTCCTCTTAACCCAATTCACTCCCCCGCAAAATTCTCTCTCTTTCCATATATCTATATCTATCTATATCTATATCTATATCTATATCTATCTATATCTATCTGTGTATCTATCTGTGTATCTATCTATCTATCTATCTATCTATCTATCTATCTATCTATCTGTCTATCTATAATTAGCAACAACAAGCAAACTAAAAGAAACACTTCTGATGTGAGAGGAATCTGAGGGAGTAAAAATTGGTTCAGTCTTTTCAGGGAAAGGAATTTCACAATGAACATCAAATATCATATAAAAGTCCAGGATCTTGTTCTGTATACTTTCCTTTCCAGAAGTTTATCCAGCATAATAATCAAAAATGTGAAAAAGGATTTATATGCAAACTTTCATCTCAGCAAGATTTATCTTTAAAAACAAAGAAAAATAAAAAAAGAAGGTGAATCATCACAAGTAGGGAAAATGGCACTAAAATTAAAGTACATGAATTTAAATATTATGAACCTAATGGGCCTTTACAATCTATGATTTTGCATATGTAAAATAAATGGATATAAAAATTATGATTGATAACGAAAGTATATAAGGAATATCTTATTTCTGATTTATTGTTTAAATGGTATATATTCTATGCCCATTATCTATAAATATATACACAAACACACACACAAGGAGGAAGACTCGCAAAATTAAAACACTAAGTAATGTTAAGAACTGTAAACATATTAAGCCAACACTTATTTCACCATATCTTGAAAAATATATAATGATTATGAGATTTATATGTATCATCTCAGGTGTACCTGTAAATTTAGATATCAGCATTTTTAATATAATTAAGATTTCACTCTGTATAGTTTTCTGTATTTTTTCCACTCTAACTGTAAACATTCCCTTATTAAATACAGAAACATAATCATAAATCATGCAGTAACTAACCATCTTTCTTAGCAAAGTCTCTAGTTTTGGTTGTCTACTGGTAAGTATCTACCACCACTCTCCTCATCCTTCCATAGTCAAATGTTTCACCAAGCCTGAGACGGTAACCACTGTCTCCTTCCTAGAGACTGATTTAGAAACAGGCATGTGTCACATTTCTGGCCAAGGGATGTCTGCCTAATGGGAAATATTTTTAAATCTTAAAATGTTACAAACCAGAAGAGTCCCTTTGTTCACTGGATAGTTTCAGGTCTACATTGATATCTAAATCCAAGAATGGAGCTGCTTTGAGAGAGAAACCACCGAGCATGAGAAAGATATCAGAACTGAATAACTAGTGGAATACCGTCCTTGATGACATACTGAACCACTGAATTATGCTGAATTGGAGTCCCACCACCCTGAGAATACTTGTTATGTGAAATGCTGCATTTTTCTTATTGATAAAGTGAGTTTAGGCAGGATGTTTCTGTTCCTTGCAGCCCAACTCAAACTAAATAGACAAACCTGGACAACACCAGGCAAGGTGGTGTTGGCAAGGCTGAGCTGTCCATGGTAGCTCCTGACCAAGACATCCAAGACACGTAATTTATCTTCTTTTACTTCAGACCTAAAATAAGGAGTAGGAACTTACAATTTCTCTTTGATAAAGCTGAATGGAGGGCAAGATTTTATCAAGAAGGTGAAAAGTTTACAAAAGCTAGATGAAGAGCAAGAGTGAGAAAGCATTTGTTTGAGCTGAATTTTGCTGGATAGTGGTCCCTGTGCCTCCTCAAGCCAAAGGAGCAGGAGTATCATCTTCATCCTCAGTGAAAGTGAAAACCACGTGAGTAAGGACAAATTGCAGCTACTTTCCTTGAAAAAAAGCCATTTGGTATATATTGTCATCATTGCTGTGTGGAAGGGACATGGTCCAAAATGTAGGAGCAACTGTGAATAGTAGTCTTCTCTGGGATCACAGAAAACAGGCTTTCCTCACCTTTGATAAATGTCTTTAAGTGTCTATTTCTGAAGTGGGACAAACAACACTTTGAATGATTTAGAGGAAATCTATACTTTTTCTTGACAAAGCACACCCTGTGGGGAATCGGTTGAATTATCTTTGCATATGAGCCACTTTTTTTTTAATGAAGTGTGTTCCTATGAAGGAGTGTGAGATTGTTTGAGGACTCATATTTCATTTGTTCTTAACACAATCTTATGAGGAGTGAGACAGCATTCTTTTTTGTGTGTACGTGTGAGGAAGATTAGCCCTGAGCTAACATCTATTGCCAATCCTCCTCTGTTTGCTGAGGAAGATTGGTCCTGGGATAACATCTGTGCCCATCTTCCTCCACTTTATATGTGGGATGCCTGCCACAGCATGGCTTGATTAGCGGTACATAGGTCCGCACCTGGGATCCAAACCTGAAAATCCTGGGCTGCAAAAGCAGAGCACACGATCTTAACCACTACACCACTGGGCTGGCCCTGAGACGGAATTCTTAAGCCATTATCTAACAATGGTGTGGGTGTCTGAATACCATCAAAGCCAGGAGAACTGGGTTGGACATATTCCTCAACTGCTCTAAGTCAATGAAACTGACTCTGAGGTGGAGATGCATTCAGGATGTTTACCGGAGATGACTCTTGGGAACAACTCCTGTGAGTGAAAGAAGAAGTTGAACTGAGAACAGGGAGAAATTAAACTGCAGTGCACTTGCATCAAAGGCCTCAGACAATTCCATGAGAACTCTGTACACAAGATGGCCCTTCAGAGACAAGTCTTGAATGGATACCAAGATCTTGGCTCATGTACCCTTGCTCCAGCCTGTCCCTGCATCATGAGGTGGGTTGTCCCTCAGAAGAGGGCATGCCTGGAGCAAGGCAACTCCATAGGCCAAGTTCAATTCACAGGGAGTGTCTCTTGTCAAAAGCCAAGGCTTCTGGCATGTGGAGGAAGGAGTGTCTAACAGAAGTGTCTGGGGAGCATATCACATCACCCACTAGAGAATCCATGGCCTAAAAATTGAAAGTATGGTGAGGAGGAAAAGGAAGGGAAGGAGGATAAGGAGAGACAAGAACCATGTGTTACACGTGTGGAGATCAGGCCAGAAATCCTTTGCCTGTTGATGTGAGAGCCAGCATCACTATGTGTTACGTACTGAATGTTTGTGTCTCCCCCATAAATTCATATGTTAAAGCCCTAATACACAATGTAATGGTATTTGGAGGTGGGGCCTTTAGGAGGTGATTAGATTTAAATGAGGTCATGAAAGTAGAGCCTTCATTATAAGGATTAGAGTCCTTACAAGAAGAGCAAGAGACACCAGAGCTCGCTGGCTCTCTGTCACATCTCTCTCTCTACCATGTGAGAATACAGGAGGAAGGTGGCCATTTGAGAACCACAAAGAGGACCCACATCAGGAAACAAATCTGCTGGCACCTTGATCTTGGACTTCCCAACCTCCATAATTCTGAGAAATAAGTGTCTGTGTTTAAGCCACACAGTCAGTGATATTTTGTTATAACAGCCTGAGCTGACTAAGACAGATTTTGGTACTGAGAAATGCAGTGCTGCTATGACAAATACCTAAAAATGTGGAAGTGGCTTTGGAACTGGGTAACGGGTAGAGGCTGGAAGAATTGTGAGATGCATGCCAGGAAAAGCTGAGATTGCCATGAAGGCACTGTTAAAGATGATTTTGGTGAGAACACAGAAAGGAAAGAGGAGAGCTCTACATAAAACTTCTATCTTCTTAGAGAATTTATAAATAATGATGAAGAGGATATTGGTAGAAATATGGGTGGCAAACAGCATTCTGGTGAGGTCTCAGATGGAAGTGAGGAAAATGTTATTGGACAATGGAGAAAAGGCAATCTTTGTTATAAAATGGCAAAGAACTGAGTTAAATTGTGTTCTGGTGTTTTATGGAAGGTAGACTTGCAAGCAATTAAATTGGATCATGTCATCTTTAACAAAGACAGTTTTATTTCTTCTTTCAAAATCTGTATAGCTTTTATTTTCTTTTCTTGTCTTATTGCACTAGATAAAACTTCCAGTATGATGTTTAAAAAGAGTGGTAAGAAGGAACATCCTTGCCTTGTTCCTGACCTTAGTAGGAAAGCTTTGAGTTTCTTGCCACTAAGTATGATGTTAGCTGTAGGGTTTTGCAGATTTTCTTTATGAATTTGAGGAAGGTCCCCTCTACTCCTAGTATACTGTTTTTATGATGAGTGGACGTTGTATTTTGTCAAATGTTTTTTCTGCATTTATTGATATGATTACATGCTTTTTCCTTTTTGCTCTGTTGATGTGATGGATTGCATTAATTGATTTTCAAATGTTGAACCAGACTTGCATACTTGGGATAAATCCCATTTGGTCATGGTGCATATATTTTTTAATACATTGTTGGATTTGATTTGTTAATATTTTGTTAAGTGTTTTCGTATCTATGTTAATGAGAGATATTAGTTTATAGTTATATTTTCTTGTCATATTTTTGTTTGGTTTTTGGTATCTGGGTAATGTTTATCTCATAGAATGAGTTAGGAAGTATTCCTTCTGCTCCTGTCCTCTGAAAGAGATTGTAGAGAATTGGTGTAAATTCTTCCTCAAACATTTGATAGAATTCACCAGTGAGCCCATCTGGGCCTGGTGCTTTCTGTTTTGGAAGGCTATAAATTATTGATTCAATTTCTCTAATGGATATAGACCTATTTAGACTATCTATTTCTTCTTATGTGAGTTTTGCCAGATTGTGTCTTGCAAGGAATTGGTCCATTTTATTTAGGTTATCAAATTGGTGGGCATAGAGTTTTTCATAGTATTTCTTTATTTTTCTTTTAGTGTCCATAGGCTCTGTACTGATGCTCCCTCTTTGATTTCTGATATTAGTAATTTGTGTCTTCTCTCTTTTTTCCTTAGTGAGCCTGGCTAGAAGCTTACTGGTGTCCAGTGCTTTTTGTCCTCTCAGAAGTCATGTAGTGAACAGGTTATCTCTTTCCAGAATCCCTTCCTCCTGTCATGTCCCAGAAAAAGATATCTCAAATGCTTCCAATATACTAAAGCATAGTTTCTTAGTCAGCTCAGGCTTCTATAACAAAATATCATAGATTGAATTGTTTAAACAACACACATTTATTTTTCACAATTCTGGAGGCTGGGAAGTACAAGATCAAAGTGCTGACAGATTTGGTTCCTGATAAGACCCCTCTTCCTGGCTTGCTTTCTTCTCTCTGTATCCTCACACGGAGGAAAGAGCTCTGGTCTCTCTTGTTCTTCTTTTAAGGATGCTAATCTCATTGTGGGGGCCCCACTCTCATGACCTTATGTAAAAGTAATTATCTCCCATAAGCCCCACCTCCAAATATCGTTACATGGAAGATTAAGACTTCACCATATGAATCTGGGGAGGACAAATATTCAATCTACAACTTTCCACCATTGACCCTCCAAAAGTCATGTCCTCCTTACCTACAAAATATATTCAGTCCATCCTAACAGCCTCCAAAATCTTAACCTATTCCAGTATCAACTCTAAAGTCTAGAGTCCAAAGTCCTCTCTAAATATTTTCTATATGAGAAATGGGTGAGATGGTATATTTATCCTGAGGAAAAATTCCCCTCTAACTGTGAACCTGTGAAACCAGATAAGTTATGTGCTCCCAAAATACAATGTGACAGGCATAAGACAGATGTTCCCACTTAAAATGGGAGAAATCAGAAGGAATAAAGGGGTGATGAGTCTCAAGCAAGTCCAAAACCTAGCAAGGCAAATATCATTAGATATTAACGCATGGGAATAATCCCATTTGGTTTGATGTTCTGCCTTCTGGGGTGATGGTCCCACCTTCACAAACCATTAGACACCAGTTCTGCGTCTGTAGCTCTTTCAGGGATGGGTCACACTACTAATGCTCTGCAGGATGAGGATTGCACTCATAGGGCTCTGGGTAGCTGTTATCCGGCCTGCAAAAACTGAAACACTGCCCCCTATTTGACGTTGAGGAGACAGCCCTGATGATCCCTGAATCACCTTTGGGCTCATTCTTCCTTTGTCTTGAAGGATAGCACAAGTTTGCCAGCAAATAACTCTATGGTCTGGTCCTGTAGCATCTAAGAAATCTTACAGCCTTCCTACATTGTGTTCTGTCTCTGACCCCTTCAGCTCAAACTGACAGTGTTTCTGCTGGGGTATCTGAATAAGGATAGGCTGAAAAGTTTCCAAATCTTTAAGTTCTAGTTCCTAGCTGTGTAACCTTAAACAAGTGACTTCTCTTCTCTGTGCTTCTATTTCATAAAAAAAACATTAAGATAAGCATTGTACACAATTTATAAATCCATTGTGAGGAATAAGTACATTAACATACATAAAGCTCTTACTACAGGGCTTGGCATATAGTAAGAATTTAGTATCTGTAGCCTCATATAAGATTCACTTAAAATTATTATTGTATGTGGTTATTAGGAACAAAGACATGCAGGAAGAATTTATATCATAATATTGCTTATTTTTTACGTTAGTATAAATAAATCTAGCTTACTCTTTTTAAGGGCTACTTAGTATTTCATTATACAGATTCATCAAAATTTATTTCACCGGTCCTCATTTGGTGAACAATTAAAATTTTATTGTTTGCTTTTTTATTCATTATTCTAAAGCAAAATTTAATGCTACACGCATTCCAAAACAAAATGTAACCTTGTAAAAGCCTGTGTGTATATCTGTAGGATGAATATCATGAAGCTTAATTGTTCAATCAATAGATAATGATAATGCCAAATTACCTTCCACCCATATTGTACCAATATGCACTGGCCAGAATGTTCTTAATTTATGTGAAGGGACTTACTGCGGTATAAAGAAAACTTCAAACTGAAGACATTTGAGATCCAGGAGTTGCAAAAAGAAAACTTTTTGGGGATTCCCTTTTCTGACTAAAGGCAGAGCCATCTGAGAGTGAAGCTGCCACAAATTCCCTCTGGGAGAGCTTCCAGCCAGGAAGGAGACTGACCGTTAGCACAGGGATGAGAAATTACGTAAACAAACATTATCACAAACTGTTCTACCTTCCATTTGTTCCCCTGAAAGCCCATTTGTCTCCCCTCATTTGTATCCCATAGAAGCCCTACCTCACCTCTTTCCTCTATTAATTGACGTATAACCCTAACCCTGGCTATTCAGTGAGTCTCTTCATCTGAATTCTCAGCATACATAGTGAACTTTTCTCTGTTAATCTATCTATTGTCAGACCACTCAGATCGAAATTTACAGAGGAAAAGATTTCCCTCCCAACATCTGTATTTGAGGTAGGGTTGCCAGACTTACTGAAGAAACATGAACTGATAAACAACATTATTTTGGAGGATGAGTATGACCCACACAATATTTGAAACATACTTATACAAGAAAAAAGAAAGATTCTTTATTTATCTGAAAGTCAAATTTAACTGAAGTCAAAATTGACTTTAGTAGAGCCATTTTTAAATGGAGTTGGAGCTTCCTTTCCAGAGAAACTGTTTGCTGTCTTAAACCTTGGACTGAGCCAAACCTTTGGATTGGGCTAGAACCATCATAGTTTTACAACTAATTTTTCAAGAAGTTAACAGAGAAATGGACGTCCTGATCACATGACTGAAGATTGTGGACTTTCTGTTTGAAGATAGAACCAGTAACCAATTATGTATATCTAGGGACAACTTAGCTTATTAACATCTATAGGATTTTTTTCTTTTACTTTTATGTAATTACCTCTTTCCTTTCCTTATAACCGCCTCTTTCACTCTGTAATTGGGACACTACTTGGGCTTCAGCCTGTATCTTTGCTCCCTGAATTACAATTTTTTGATCCCAAATAAATGCTTTGTCTCTTAAACTGATTTTTGTTTTTGTAGGTTGACATACAGTCTCAGAAAGTGAGACTGGAAGCAATCTCACCTTCACAGACTGGTGTCCCCTGGAACCAGGTATAGCACCTACACAAGCCCCTTGTGCTCACCTTTTACGTAGACCTCCATCTCTTCCAACCATGAGTCTTCTCAGGCTCAAGCCCCCTTCCTTTTGGTTGAGATCATTTCCTTTCTTTAGGATTTTGGGGCAATTGCCCAGCAAGGACAACTGTCTCAAAGCTAGCTCACGGCTGTTGCCCTTTGGAAGGGTTTCTCTATTTGGGCCAGCTCACAGCAGTTCATGGCTGTTGCCAGTTGGAAGGATTTCCCAATTTGATGAGGACTCTGACTAAATTAAAGGGGCTCCTCTCAGTAAGGCTTCCCGTATTCTTATCCTGATTATGCACTTGTCTTTAACATGTGACTCTCAATTTCTAAAAGTCCCTGAAAAATTTCTCCTTCACTGAACTCCAGCTGAGTTTACTAAGGTCCCTCTTCCTGTAAATTTTTATATCAATGGACTGAAATTACTAAAGATGATTTAAAACTACAGTGGCCACTTTGGGGGTCTTTTGATCTTCCAAAGCTTGTCTTTTTGCACACTAGACTTAGGAACCATCCATTTAAGACTGGACAAATTAAATGAGATCTTTAATTTGTAAAGAGTTAAGCATACCACCTTCTGGCACACTTGCTTAAGAACTATGGTCCCAGAAGCTATAAACATTTACAAAAACAGCAAAATCTAACTAAGGTTGTTTGATATTCTGAGAACTTGGTTCAGTAACCATCAGGTTAGGGACCCCAAAATATGGTTGGACAGAAACGTGGGTTCCACTTCTTTTGCAACCAGATATGGTTGAGCAGAAATGAGGGTTGAACTCCATTTGTGGCTAGGGTCCTACAAAACTGCTGTCAGCCATCAGGGGAATTGCAACCTAGAATTATAATGACCATTCTGAGGAACATTTAGTTAAATAAGATCATTTAAAAAGTGCGCTTAAAAACAAAGGCTTCGAGGGCCGGCGCCATGGCTTAGCGGTTAAGTCCGGCACTCCGCTGCTGGCGGCCCGGGTTCGGATCCCGGGCGCGCACCGACGCACCGCTTCTCCGGCCATGCTGAGGCCGCAGCCCACATACAGCAACTAGAAGGATGTGCAGCTATGACGTACTACTATCTACTGGGGCTTTGGGGGGGAAAATAAATAAATAAAATTATAAAAAACAAAAAAAAAAAACAAAGGCTTCGAAATTCCAAAATAGTTTCATTAAAAGTTTTGTTGCAAAAAGCTGTTGAAAGATTAAAGATATAAGAGGTACCTAAAAGAAAAGAGTACATTATCTTAAACAAAAGCTTGCCAAGGTAATGGCCTTAGAGACACTCCCATATCTACTCTCAAAGCAGGGCCCCCATATGGGCCTCTCCCAAAGTTGACAAGACTCTGAGGATTTTCCTGCTAAACTACTATGTTATTCCCTTAAACAGCCAAGGGGAAACTAAAATTAAAAATTAATAGGATTGTTTAATATTGCCAGAAATGTTAATTGTTTGTCTGGCTGAAAACTGACAAGATATTTGACAGGATTTAATAACTATATGATCAGAAATTTGGCCAAATTGGAAGCTGATATTCAGAGCTTGATATAATTTTTTTTTAGACCTTCTCCCCTAAGTTAAAATAAAACTACATATCCAGAGGGAAAGAAGTAAATTGAGGATAATGTAGTTGGTTGGGTAGATCAAAGTATGATGTCATTTAAGATACATCTTACAAATCTTTGCAAACTGGAAATGCAGCTCTAGAGGTAACTCAAATTCCACTCATTCCTCTCTATCAATTCCAAATCTTCCCCAATTTATCTCAAAAGGCTTATAAGTATTCTGCCTTAAGAAACCAAAGTCCTTCTTGGAGGAATTTGCATTCTTTCTCTGTGCATTTGAGATGCAAAAGTTTTACCAGGTCTCCTCTCAGGAACTCTTACCTAGACAATCCCTGATTCCTAAGACTGAAGGAAAGGAAAAGGAAAAAGGAAGCTTTTTAACATACAAACTGCTATAAAAGCTTCCTTGCCACACCCTCCACAAAATTACTTGTCAAGGGCAAATAAAAATCTTAAAAGTCTTCTCCACAAATATTAATAAAAATCTTTAGACATCTGAGCAGATAAACTTAACCTATTCCAACTACCAAAATAAAATTTGGATCCAACTTCTCTTTCATAACCAGTGAGTTTTTTATTACTGTACCTGATTCATGGCAGTAATTTTAAAACAATAGCTGTGGGGGTCTCTATATTTGTGTGTTTCTCTATATATGTGTTGTCGATGTGTGGTGTTTTTTCTACCTCCAGATGGTATTACTAAAATTGATTTGTAAAAGAGGTCTATTTCATTGGTTTAAAGGTCAAATTCTTGTAAGGATTGGGTATTCTAAATTCTCAGAAATATAAAAACAAACCCAAATGTTTTTCAAGTTCACATGACCTAGGATTAATCTTTAGTAACTATAAGCTAGTTTAAGTTCTTTGATTTAATTAAAACAGCTATGTCTTTAAAGTTATCAACATTGAGTATAATGCAGATAAACAACTTTTATTCTAGCTGGGTTTACTAGTCAAATTCATGTTATCTCTGTTGTAAAATTTGTTCACAAAAATATAACTTAGAATGATGGCTGATTTTGCCTGATGTCTCATGAAGTTTTCATGGGTAATCTAAACATAATTATTGGGAACAAACAAACTAAATAGATGTAAGTAAGATAAAAGGTTTTTAGGTAAACTTTTTAACAACAATTATGTGTTATGCTGTATGTCCATAAAAATAACGTCAAAACCTTTTGGTAACTTAAAACCTTAGAGTTAAATGATAGAAATTTATTGAGTGTCCAGATCATTTCCAAATAAAATAAAATATTAGACATTAATTATTAGACATAGGTTTATTTACCTTTGGCTTCTTATTACCAAAAAACTAAAGAAGGTTGTGTCTATTAATAAACATGCCTTGTGCCACACTGAAAAAATTATTCTATGAGAAAATGTGTTGTCAGTGAAAAAAGCTATAAGGAAAGGAGATGTTTTTGTTAAGAAAGTAAACTTGTCCTAAAGTAAAACTGGTTATGGGAAAAAGGAAAGGAAAAATTCAGAATGTAAAAAAAAATGAAAGTCATTAAAAGTTTGTGGAAAAGGAACCTGGAGAACAAAGTTTTATGCATATGTCAAGATGATTAAGATTAGAATGAATTTAACTAAGTAAATGATGGTTAATATAAAGTAATCTGGTTTAAAATTAGAATTTGGTTTCTTTTCTGCTAGAAGGACAAGGTTTTCTTGAGCTTTTAGTCTGCTCTTGATAAAGAGATTATGAAAGGTTCTTCTCTACCTTTGAATAGTCTATCTAAAGGCAGAGATTTTATGTTTTAGCAAAATAATTTCTTGTGCTGGTTTTATCAGATCTTCAATTACAAGAGCTAAGTATTTCCTTACAATTATTTAACTTTATTTATTTGCCTGAAAGTCTTTAATTTTCTCCATGGTTAAATGGATAACTGAATATTGTTTTACAGTGACCTATAACTTACTTGACCAAGTGTTTTAAAAGCTTTTAATATTTTTGACAAACATTCCAAAATCAAATTCTAAATTTTTTTTTAAAGAGAGATGCTAGACAAATTAGGCTTATTTGGTATGTTAAATGACATAGGAACCACTGTCAATTAGGAAGTAATGTTAAACTTATAGATTATATTTGTATTACACTTATGTGTTATAAGTGTTCCAGAAATTATGTGATATTCTTGGAATTCTGATATGTCCTGATATAAAATGTTGCCTGTCTGTCATCAAGACTGAGGTTGACACTAAAAGGACTGAACCTGAATATCAGGGAAATGCCCTAGCTGATCTTCATTCAAAGACAGCAACAACAGAATCTATAAAGATTATGGCACATGTGGATGAACTCTATTCTGCTTTGCAAAATGTGACCCCCTTTGCCAGGCTTTGCTGTCCTGATGTTCTTGTAACCTGGCAACAGTCTGCTACTGAATCAGAAATATTAAAATGGGTAAACAGTGTCTGTAAATTAAACAGTTGGGGCTATGGTAAACCCAAAGTGGCTACTTAGGTCTTCCTAACTGCCTGGAAAACCCCATTTTTGGGTTTTTCCATTCCTTCACCAACCATAAGAAAAACTATTTTTGTCCCCAGAGGCCTCAGATCTCCTCCCTCTGGATCCTTCGAGCATATACAGCTGAACTGCATTCAGTTGCTACTTAATGTGAATTATCAATATGTTCTTGTTATTGTATGTATGTTTTCTGGATGGTTTGAAGCCTTCAAACCTGCAGCAAAACTGATGGCCTCACAGTGACAATGAAACAGTTAGAGGAGTGACATCAGCAACATGGTGGAGTAAGCTGTTCTGTTTATCTCCCCCGCTTTGAACTACAACTAAATGGACATTCATTGAGCAAAGGAGGACACCTACATAGCACAGTAAGACCCCTGAGAGACCCACACAGCTATACATCTGAAGGTGGGTGAACTGGGCCCCTAGGAAGTAGTGGAGATAAGTGAGCACTCCCCTACCCTTCCCCAGCAGCCCTTTTTTGTATGCAAATGATTTCCCAGCAGGCAGGAGTGCCCATACTGCTGTTGTGGCCCTGTAAGAGGGAACATGTCTTGACAGGACTGTAAGAAGAGGCAGTGGAAGCCTTGAGCCTGCACATGAATGCTTTCCTGGCTGGCAGGAGCACCCACTGTGCCGCTGTGGTCACAATGAGTGGCCCTGGCTTGGACCCTGTGAGGAAGCCCCGCCCACCAAGCCAGCAGTTGATGTGACAATAAGAAGGGGCACCCATAGTGTTACTGTGGCACCGCAAGTGGGAACACACCTTGGCATGACTGTAAGAAGTGGCAGCAGCCCTGAGCCCATTCATTAACTCTTTGCCAGCTGGCAGCAGTGCCCACCATACCCACAAACTTCCAGAAGATGGGGTGGGATCACAAACACAGATAGATCCTGCTTTCCCCCAGTGGTAGCAGGTGAACTATGCGACCTGATAACTACCACAAATGTGCCAGCAAAGGATTAGTTCATCAAACACCATGAGAAACTACAGTAACAATTCAGAGCAGAAGGAGAATGACAAGTCTCCAGAAACCAAATATGAAGTCACAGAAATTTAAAATTTAAATGACAGAAAATTCAAAACAGCTGTCATAAAGAAACTCAATGAGTTACAAGAAAACTCAGAAAGACAGTTCAATGAGCTCAGGAATAAAATTAATGAGAAGAAGCAATACTTCACCAAAGAGATTGAAACTATTTAAAAAAAAAAGCAGAAATTCTGGATATTAAGAACACAATTAATGAGATAAAAAATAATCTAGAATCCATAAAAATTGAGCTAACATTATAGAGGAAAGAATTAGTGAGTTAAAAGACAGAAATATAGAAATGCTTCAGGTGAAGGAGGAGAGAGAACTAAAATTTTTAAAAAATAAAGGAATTATTTGAGAAATATCTGACACAATTAGGAAAACCAACATAAAGATTATAGGTATTCCAGAGGGAGAAGTGAGGAAGAAAAGAGCAGAAAGCTTGTTCAAAGAAATAATAGCTGAGAACTTCCCAAACCTGGGGAAGGAAGTGGAATTACAAATACATGCAGCCAATAGAACTCCTAATTACATCAATGCAAAAGGACTTTTTCCGAGGCATATAATATTAAAACAGGCAAAAGTCAATGATAAAGAAAAAATACTAAGGGTAGGAAGGCAGAAGAAAACATTCTAGAAAGGAACTCCTATCAGGCTCTCAGCGGATTTCTCAACAGAAACTTTTCAGGCTAGAAGAGACTGGAATGATATATTCAAAATACTGAAAGACAAAAACTTTCAGCCATGAATACTCTAACCAGCAAAACTATCCTTCACATAAGACGGGGAAGTAAAATCTTTCCCAGATAAACAAAAGCTGAGGGAGTTCATTACCACTAGACCTGCCCTATAATAAATGATCAAGGATGCTCTCATACCTGAAACAAAAAGGCAAAGGTCTCCAAAGCTTTGAGCAAGGAGACAAATAGACAATCAATCAGAAAACTGCAGATCTCTTTCAGAACAGGGTAGCAAATAATTAATTATAATTTAAAAGATAAAGGGAAGGAAAGCATCAAAAGTGGCTACAAACACTTCAACTCAGTAACAAACTCACAACACAAAACAGAATAATTTGTGACAACAATAACTCAGACAGGGAAGAAGAAAGGAATGGAAACTGCTTAGGTAATGGAGATAAGAGGCTATCAGACAATGGACTATCTCATCTATGTGATATTTTATACAAAACTCATAGTAATAACTAAACAAAATTTCAGAGCAGAGCCACAATTCACAAAAAAAGAGAAAACCACCACAGAAAATCACCAAACTGAAATGGCAGTCAGAAATACAAAGGAAGAGAAACAATGGAAATATAGAACAACTGGAAAACAAGAGATAAAATGACCATATCAAGCCTTCATATACCAATAATCACTCTAAATATAAATGGATTGAATTCTCCAGTCAAAAGACACAGAGTACCTGGATTAAAAAAACAATACGCAACAATATACTGCCTCCAGGAAATACACTTAGCCCTAAAGACAAACATAGGCTGAGAGTGAAGGGATGGAAGATGACACTCCAAACAAATGGAAAACAAAAGAAAGCAGGTGTTGCTATACTTATATCAGACAAAGCAGACTTCAATATAAAAAAGACAATGAGACATAAAGTGGGGCAGTA